GAATGCGAATAAGATGATCGTTTGGTAGAAATGTAATGAAACATGTTTCGAGGGGTAAAATCTTTAGAGGAGAGGGCTGTTGGGAAACAGCTCCGAGCCAGCTTTCCCTTTATCGTTTTCGCAGACAGCAGAGAGCATCGAGTTTCCTGAAGCGATCGGTGAGCGATACCACCACGCACACAGAGCTTGCTTGACCCATCTATACGGTGCTGCTGCACGTTAATGCCAATTAATTAACCTGAAATCACCGGGCTCAAACCATTAGTGGCACTTAATCCGCGCGAGTTGTGTCCTCGAGATCCAGTAGTACACGAGCGTTATAATCCCTGTTACTCACCCTATATACGTTTCGCCGAAATCGATCATCCTATATATCGAGATCATCTTTGAAAGTGGATCGCTATCGGATCTTTTTAAGTGGATCCTTTGTGCGAGTTTGACCTATGTACTTAATCTTCTTTCTTCTGCCTATTTTCCTTATTCGAATCGATCGAGAGAGTTCCGATTTGAAATTTAGCAATACTCCTCTAGTCTAATCGATCTCCCATTAAATCCTTTCGATCCTTTCTCTTATCCCCTTTTCAATCGAATTTCATTGCATGGCATAATGCAAATAAGGCAAATACAATGTGCCGAAAAGATTCGAATAAATAAGCGACTATATATTATCTACGCACATTTTGTTTGTCCTAGTTATATAATGAATAATAAACACACGATTAGAGGATTATACGAAAGAACAGTATGCTGCTGATTTAGAACGCAGTTATGCAGCGGCGATGCGCGGTTTCTCCTACAAACAACACAAGGACTTAATTAATGAAGCTCTTCGTGAAAGCTGCATAACCGCGATGACGTTGATGATAACGATAATGATAATAATGTTAATAATAATAATGAAAATAACGATAACGATAACAATAGTAATTAGCATAACTCGCGAGTTCTGTCTCCTCCTCCTCCACATTTTGCCTTTTTTATTTTTCCCATTTTTTGTCTTTCTTCCTCTTGCAATCGTGCTTTTAATTATGCGCAGCGCATTCGTCAAATAGTCGCCATTGCAGTAGTTATACGAGTTCGCTCAGTGAATCGCTAATTAGACGATACGAAACCGAGAAAAATCTATCCGCGTCTCTTTTTATTTTGATGTTACTTGAAACATTTAGTTCCAATCCTCTAAACGGTACGTATACAAACATGCGCGAGATACATGGCTAAGAGAAATGTGAAAAACGATTATTCATCTCGATTATTCCAACGAACGAGACCGCTGTCGATTATTAATTCGCATTGATTCGCCGCATCGGTGAACGATTGATGGACGTATGAATTAATCCGAGAATTCCTTCTCTTTTCTACTTCTTCTTCTACGTTGCCGTCGATGTCTACCAACAACATTTTTACTTACATACGATCTCTCTGTCTCTCTTTTTACAATTTCTCAACGATCGATTATCCGTCCAATTTTTTGTCTTCTCTTACTTTCGATGAATTTTCATCGGACGTTTAAATTTATACCTCTTTATTTAAATGTTAATCGAGCGATACTAATTTTAGGCTTTAAATCGACGAACACATTTTCAAGGGGGAGAGAGAAGAAAAATAATATCCGAAAGATTTATCGAGCGATCGATATGTTCGATCTTACGAACGATCTATCGCCTGATCTTATTGTGTCGTTCTCGATGAAGAAGGGAGTGCCGATAATCGAAGTAAAACTCGTACTAATTAAGAGATCGGCAAGAGACGCGAGCGTTGCAATTAGCGAGTCGCGAGTCGAGCAGCAACAGAAACCCCGACAACGACAACGACGACCAAGACCACAGGAGATCCTTAATTGAACGGATTACAACCAAGTTACCTGAACTAGGATGCCTTCCAGACAACCACATCGAGCTCCTTCTGTTCCTACGTCGAAACCGTTAATTACTGGATGGCTATATCAAAGGATGCATGAGAATTGCTCTTCTCCTTTTAGATGCTCTGCTAAAGACGTTTCTGCCTATCATTCTCTATCTCTATACGTTTAGAAGGATTTTGCGAATAATAATATCTTCTCGATCGTAGCAATTACGCGCAAACGAATCTTCTTACTTTTATACATTAATAATATTTACAACAAATTTTTTCAATTAATAAGAAAAATAAACTGCACGGAAAAATAATGCAATTTAATCCTTCGACGTAGAAAATATCTGTGCTCGGTCTAATAAATATTATTTATTTCAATACTGCAAATTGATACTTATTAATAGGAAGAAAATGAAATGTATCGAGGGAGAATACGAAGTGAAATAAGAAAAAGAAAAAGATACGAGGAATAAGATTCATACAGGTTTCTCGTGTTACGGTCATGTAAAACGATCTCTCTTTCTCTTACGCTCTTCTTCGTGCTTTGAGGATTGAATTCCTTGACGAACGTCTCTTTCTCGATAAAACTTTCGCATCGCGTCGGTTTTATTTACCGAGAACAGCGGTGTACTTTGCTTTACGAAAAAGAGAAAGAGAAAGAGAGAGAGAGAGAGAGAGAGAGAGAGAGAGAGAGAGAGAGAGACGAATTCGTGCGACTATACTCGAATGACCTTTCGAGCCACGACCCCGAAAGCTTTACAAAATGAGAGAGAGAGAGAGAGAGCGCAGTTGTGATTAAACGCACGTGTACAAGAGGGCGATCATTAATTAATACCTTCCGGGACGAAACGAGTCATGAATCAACGCTGCTGTAACAGCGTGGTAACGTTTCACCCTCTCTCTCTCTCTACTTCTTTCACATCCACAAGCAAACACGCGTACGCACGCACACACGCACACCCGCAGATTCTGCCTATATAGCAGAGATTCTCTCTCCGTTTGGTCGTATCCATCTATTTATCTCGTTCATGCAATCTAGTTAGTCCGATGCCTTTGACCCGAGACGACGAAATGTCTCGTGACCGATCCCGTTCTATCGATGGGATCTAGCAATGATAAACAATGGTCACCTAGAAGCGATTATTAATCACGCGCGACGATCCACCGCAATTAACCTTCAAGCCATTGTGTATCTCTCCGCTGCTCTCTTTCATAGACGTTGCAACGTTATTATAGTACGTTAGTATATTGGAGGAAGGTGCAAGTTATCGCATATAAATTTTCTTTTTAGTTACCTTTCTCTAGTTACTTTCGCTTCTCGCGTATGTTGGCGAAAGAGTAGAGAAGCGTTTTAATTAAATTCGAATTGATCGATCGACGCGCGGACTAGACGGTAAGAATCTTTGACCGATCGATCGATCGATCGATAACACGTACATCCGCGATTAGAATGAGAGACTCGTTCCCTATAGATTTGCAAGCTACCATCTGCCTTCATCTTCTCAACATTCAACGTCGTAACCGACCGATTTATCGTTCGTTGGAAGATAAAAACACAGGGAAAAGAAAATGACAGAATAAATCCAATTTTCTGAATAAATTTCGTAGATAATACGGAAAATATTGAAATACGCGGGAAATGAATGCGAATTTGTAAACGAAGAGACACGGTTAACGAAGAGACAAGGGAACAGCGTCTCTGGCAGAGGAAGAACGAAATTCAACCGATCAATTTCCGTTTTAATGGGCATACAGTCGTTCTCTATCGCTCGCTTTCGTACATGTCTGATAGGCAATTTCCGGACGAAACTAGCCAAACGGTGTACTGGTAAACGCCGCGAAAACTCTCCTCTACCTGCTTATACTATACATATAACGTGCTCGGTGGTATACACATAAAACAGGGCTCGAATATGGCGGTGCCATTTCATTAAAGGGTATAACAGAGAATAGGGAAAAGGGAAAGTATCCGCTTATACATATGTAGACGCTAGGAGGATAAAGGTGGAGCGAAAGAGAAACGCGCGAGTGCACGTTCGAGAAATCTTCTCACGTTATCCGTTCTGTTTCTCTTTCTATAGATGCAGGTATATGTGCATATACAAACATGTATACGGTTAGGTGTAGTAGTTATCGCTTCACGAAGAAGAGAGTCAAACGGCGAAAGCACGATCGCAGTTTATGAGACCGATAAATCTACGAAGACTGTGTAGATTTATACACAGAGTTGTATACGTTCTACGTATACATATGCACTAGCTAATAAAGATTTCAAACGTTTAAAGTGCTTAAAAGCCGTAAATAAACTAAATTTACGCGAGAAAATATGACGGCGGCCAAGATGTCACCGATATTAAGCGACAATACGAATATAATACGGTTCAAAATATCTCACTTATTTTATATTCTCGCTTTTTCTCAACCATTACATCCCGCCTAGCAACGGTTAATATTTCCAAAATTGTCCCAAATATTTTCCAAGCTTCGATCGGTTCGTCTTAATTTCGATTTTATTTCATTTTTCTCCGAGTAGAGAGGATGGTCGATTTCTCCAAGCGGAATACCACGAAACAACGCTAGAGAAAGAATTTCTATCGCGATTAATTTAACGAGAGACGTCTTCTACGAATAAATCTCCATCTCGCATCTAGCTTGAGCTAATAATTATGATACATTCGTGCCTATCGTAATTATATATAAAAAAAAAAAAAAAAAAAATATTTGCTGCTGGAGTTTTGAAGGAAAAGATCATTTTTACGAAAGATAAATAGGCGAATAAACGCGCTTCGTATAGAGCAATCTCGATTTTTCGATTTGATTGACGATCGTGTAACGTAGAGAGAACTCGAGGTGTAATCGAGCACCGATCGCGATTAATTTAACGATCCTTCGGCCAAGGCCGTGTGCATCTACAGAGTCGAGAGCGCGTAAAGATCGCTGATCTTTGCCATTTGAACTTTCTTCGGCAAGTTCATGGCGGCGGGCGAAAGTTGTCGCTCGTAGAAAATGTTCTCGAGATTATTATCGTTCTTCGAAGCTTGACACCTCGAGAAGCCTTCGACCTCCCCCTCGCGCGGGTTCGCGGATCGTGCGAATCGAGTAGGATTAGTATTTTCTTCCTACCGTTGCGTACACTAAATCTTATTTACCTTTTTTAGATGGCCCTTGTGAGTTCCAAGGAAGACGACGGTGTAATCACCGGTGGACGTAGCGGCTACTGCCGTGAGAAGAGTGTCGAAAGTTAAAACTGGAAAGGCAGCGATCGGATCTTCGCCTCCGAGGGGAGTGTTCACGTCCAAACCGCAGAAATCCTCGCCCATGGTGTGTAATTTCTGTAAACCCAACGAGAACAAAATCAATGCGATGTGTTTAGTTAGCGTTCCGTTAGCAAGAAAATACGTGAATTTGTTTGCTAGCGTGTAATAGCTATGTAGGGGATTGTAATTAACGATACCATTTCCTATTCCATGAATGTGCACGATGATAATTGTAATGGATCTAATCGCACGGGCTAATTATCGAATACCCTATCTTATCCCAGTATGTAATCATCTATCATAAATGTAATTAAATTTACGGACGTAAACGTAGGGACGCGTAGATAGTATAATGATCTGATAATTGACTATTTAAGAGAAAATCAAAAATATATTTATATGGTTGTCGTATATAAGATTAATTGAACGGATGTACTTATTCGTTTCCTCTATTTCTTTAATATTCGACGTATAAATTCGATGACCCGTAAAGATTTCCAAAATATCCTCTCGTTCCTTCTATTTGCTTTCTACCGTATGCATATCGAAAATAGTTCATTTATTCGGCGAAAGAATAAAAATGTATTAGCATCGATAATGATATCCTCCAGCTAATTGTCACGCACGTCCGAACGCGAGACGACTAATAATATGTCACTGGTATATACAAATATTCATCGATACGCATAAACATCGAATATCAGCTGTTGCGTTCCCTGCATTCAATGAGAGGATAATGAAAACTAAAGTAAACATCAAATGATTTAATATTATACGACCCATTTCCTAATGACGCATATAACTCAATCATTATTTATAGGAAAGAAGTTGTTATAAGAAAAATATATGGTTAATATTTGGATCATATATACCATACGTACATATTTCCTTGAAATTCTAGACAAGGAGAGGATATTTTTTCGAGACGTGCAAAGAAGTAAGCAAGATTCGCTTTTTAGGAATATGCAGTCGTAGGTTATCGCTATAGGAAGAAAAATATTGGACGCTAAAATATATCGCGTCGGAGGTCCGCAAACGATAAATTATTACGGAGGAGGCAATTAATTCTTGTTGCCTCGGCGATTAATCGTCGAGGGTGAGGGCGAGGGCGGCGAACGACGAAGACGACGAAGACAACGAGATGTTATATTTTATTGCTCTTCGTTCGGCCAAACATCTTTTCTTTCATCTCGCGCAAGGCCATCGCGAAGAGGATACGCGTCTTTTTTCTCGAATTGTCTAATAAATGTTACAAGCATAGTGTAAAATGAAATATCGCGGAGCGGGACTTTGATTTTTCGACATGTCTTACAAATGAAATATTTCATATAGTTCGTATAATAAAAATTATATATATTTATATAAGGAGACAAATTTCAGACGTAATACTATAGAAGATATGAAAATAGTGCCGTGATTTTGCGAGGAAATTTCGTGAATGCTCTAATCAAGCTTAGAAACGAAATATTTGGAGAAACATCTCGAGGATAAACTGAGGATTCGTCGTCGTCGTCGTCCTCTCGTCGCGTCAACTCTATTTACATTCCAGGGTTGGTTTCGCCACCCTATATAGATTGCTGCGAACAATTATTTGCATTGCTGGTGCTAATACACCGCCTACGGTGTGCAGAAGGGGTGTTTCGCGGCACGCTTCCGACTCCTCTCATGAAAGAGACAAACAAGAAGACATTCGTTTATAATAATATAATACTAATATTTATTATTATAATATTATATAATATAATACTAAAATCTCCTTTTCTTTCCTCATTTCCTTTTATAGCCATTTTGCTCGACAAAATTCACGATAAATACGCATTTAACATATTAAATATTATATAATAAATCATTGAATGCCGATTTTTCGATATTTTAATGAGCATCAGCTTGCGACGATCGTCAAAGGGCCTTTCCCAAAGTCCTGTTACATATTGTACTTATATATCTATATCCTCTCTCTCTCTCTTTTTTCCTTTCTTCTTTCCCTGTCGACTCTCTCGAAAGCATATTTACAGTTGTTGGACGGTAACCGAGTAGAAGGAGGCGAGCTAGCGCGTATACGAAACGATTTTTGAAAACACAGAAACTCCATTAAGCAATAAAATCGTCCTCGGAATTTTACATTCGACCTATGGAATGAAATATGGTAACGCCGGCGTAGAATTATTCACAGAAACATAGAAATTCCATTAGGCATGCGCACACCTCATTTTTTCTATACAATGAATTAAGCACCCGCTAATGTCCACAAGCTCGCGGACTCGTCCTTCAAGAAAATCCCAAGGAATTTGTCACTTTTATCTCCGAGACAAAACGAACTTATCTCTAGTATGCACTTTATTATACTATTTCCAATTAGACGAACGTTCAACGAATTAATAAGAGATCAAAGCTTTCCTTTTATCGTCTCCTATCAAAGTCCATAGAAATTTGTATTCAAATTTACCGTCATAAAGGTTGACGCGTGAAAAACTATTTGTTCGTTTTTATTTTCACGCGAAAGCAGGTAGAAACGTTGATAAAAAGTCCGACAATTCCAGCAGGAAACGAGGTATATCGAATCGTCCACGAGGGTAATTATATGCGCGAACACGTTACTGAAAATCTTTCGCAAAGTCCGTTCCTTCGAACGACGGCACGCCGCCGAGGATGAACGGAATCGATTGTCGAGAATGAAATAAAAAGAGAAGAACAATTATTATTTATTCTATATTATATATTATTGAATAGAAGAGAAAATAATATCTCGTCGGCAAATAAGCGTATAGAAATTGTAAGGAATAATTCGAACCCATTTATCCCACCGATGTGCCACCACAATAAGGAACAATTGTAAAAGTTAAAAAATCGATCGATCGATCGTTCGTTCGTGCCGACATTATTGTTATTGCGACATAATCATCGAGGATGGAGAGCACGGATCGAGTTCGCGCCGAGGAAAACGTTATGGTAATTCGAGAACGGCCGATTCTTGAAGCCTTTGCCACATCGTCCGTTCACTTTTATCGCTAAGATCTTCACAACTTATTACGATATCTTTTATAGCCTTCTGCCATCGACTTTTGCATTATTACAACTTTGCCAATTTCTACATCTCTCATACTTTTTCTTTATATCCGCATCTAGAACAAAGCAGTTTCAGTTATTTCCTTTACATTTTTTTTCTTCGCTTTCTCAATAATTCATTTTGATGTCATTTTCTTGTACCCTTTATGGCTTCATTATGTCGAAAGTATACTCTCTCGTTGCAAATTCAATCCAACGCATGCTACTCGACTTTTATCATTTGAAAATGAAGATTACGCAATAAGTGAATTTTTCTAAAAGATGCTACATTTAATGCACCAGCTTAAAAAACTTTCTCTCTTATATTATTTTTATTGATATATTAAATATTGAGAGTTGATTTCTCTCGAGTAGATGATTTTCGATGGGCAAGTATGATCGAGAAAGGATGGGCGTAACGCGATCGCCTCTGGCAGTAAATCTCTCGAAAGAAAGGAGGCGCGGTTTTATTGCGATTTATTTTGCGAAACAGAGATCCTAAGTAGGCGTCTCTCTTTGTCTTTTTCTTATTTTTTCTTCTTTCGCGCAGAATGAGATTTCATATCCCTCTCTCTCTCTTTTTTTACACACGATATACATGTAATTAATCAAAATGTTGACGCTTTCTTTTCAAAGGGATCAACGAAATCGTAGTTTCAACATCGACGTGAACAAAGTTTATTAATTTCCGATTGAATTAAACGAGAGCGATTAATATTTTTCCTTAGCCAAGGATAATGTTCCTCCATCGGCGAACGTATCGATGAAATTTACGTGGACGTCGTTGTAAAGAGAGGAAAGCTTCACTTATTTCGAAGCTTTTAGCGGTGCATCGACGTTAACGATTAAAGCGTTCATCCTTTCTATCCATCCATCCATCCATCTCTCTCTTTTTCTCTCATACTTTAGAATTCTTGTGGAAAAGGGGTGTACTCGTTGAACGAGGGGATGTCGTCGTTCGTTGCTTTCCTCAAAGCGGGACCGATAATGAGAATGAAGGAAAAAGAAAAAGAAAAATAAAAACCTAGCTCTGCCCCTCGCCCCTCTTTCTCTCTTCATCAGGCTATGTGCAGTTGCGAAGTACTTACATTCCACTAACTTCACTGGGATGAACAGAGAGAGAGAGAGAGAGAGAGAGAGAGAAAGGTAGATAGGAAAAGAAAGAAGAACAACGTTTTTACGTCGCACGGTATTTTCTACTCGTGCCTCTCTCTCTCTCTCTCTCTCTCTCTCTCCTTTTATAATGTTTGTAGAAAACAGAGATCGAGAGAAGGACGCGTTCTTAAAGTAAATGCGTTAGTGGTCCTTTCAACGGCTAGAGGAAAAAAGAAAAAGAAAAAAAACATTAATGATAGACTAGACGTTAATTGATAACTACGTAGCACATTTCTTTCGTATTATTGTTAAACTCGTAAAGTTCTTAAACGTCCTCTTATTTGATTATTCGATTGAGGGAAAAATTGAAGGAATGATTTGCGATCGTGACGAGTATAAAATGAAAGTTGATTCGTTTCCTCGGTACGTTCACCCTTACACGTCCTCGTTCGGCTTCGAACACAGGCGGAAGTCATCCTCGAGGAATTTGAAAAAGGGGGACACTCGATCCCGTTTGCGGCAAGGCGCATGCGCTCGAACGTGTTTGCACGACCTGCCTTACACCAACAAACCCATACACGCTACTATAGAAATATACTAACATTTATCTGTTTGCCTCTTTGTCTCCCTCCCTCTCTCTCGCGTAGAGGCGTTTGTTACAGATGCCTTTGGCTCCCTATAGAGACGATACAGAAACCGTTCGAGAGTATCTGCAATTTAATTACAACGACTGTGTAATTACAAACGACACAGACTCGAGATCCACTCCACTATCGTGTATTCTCATTCGAATAACGAGAAACGATCTATATATCACGACTAAATTCTGATCCTTGACAACGATAGCATGCCAATTAAACTCTATCCCACCTTATTTTTCTTTGTCTCTCTTGCTCTCCCAATATCCGCTTTCGTACCTGTCACAAATGATCAAT